GCGTTGGTTTTATCAAGGGGCTTTGTTTACACTCGGAAACTGGCAGCATGCTGCAGACACAGCATGCCGTGTAGCTTAGGGCCCCAGGGTCCTAAGCTATACACGGCGGGACCAAGCGGCACCAAGTGACCGCTGCATCGAAGCCGGTTAGTCAGCGCCGAGCCTCTCACTAACCAACCTGTCCCTTGGTCCCGATTGGTCCCTCCGTCTAGTTCAGGGCCCTTGATGTTCCTTTCCAGTGGCACGCTGGCTTTGACAGATCTTTCCTTTTCTATGAGAAGCTAGTCAGGAGGTTGTTCGCGCCGTCGAATCGTTAAATGCGTACATTTGTTCCTCTGTGCAACGTCACCACGCAGCAACAAGCAATACATTTTGTGTTACCACGGCCATTGCTGCGATAGTGCTGGAAAGGAACGATGTTTTGTTCCTTTACTGAGCAAGAATGTCTACCGTATTTACTCGAGTAATAGCCCCACTATTTATGAACAAGGCCCTTGCGTCTACTATCCCGCAAAGCACATATTCAGCCAATCATCGCGTTGCGCAGAAATAACATATCGAATAACTAGATCAAGAACATGGGTCTCCATACAAATGCAACCTTCACAGATGGTATCTTCGCGCGAAGACATTATCTCTGTCTTGTAAACAACTGGAATCATGTTGTCGGTCGTCTATCCGTGTGCTCCGCGAAAAAGCGAACCCTCAGGTTTTTTTCTTAAACAGTGCGGCTATCATGCGAGTAAATACGGTAATATGCAAAACTGTTCTAACAAAAGGCTACGGGGCGGTGCCATTTTTCTATTCCTGAGTGTGGATGGAGCGGGTTTTGATTGTTTTCCTAAACGACGAACACGCACGTGCTGAGCCGCCGATTCGTAAACATCGAAACATTTTGTGGCATTTCAGGGGAACCCTCGCAGGCCTTTGATCGGCGTCCCAGGTGCCTGAACGCTGATAAAATTTAATACGAACGAATAACTTTCATTAACCTTTGTTAAAATTATCTGAGTATGAATACTTCAGAAAAATAAATCGAATTAACTTACCTTAAATTCAAGTTCTTCGACATTGTGTTTTCAAATTAGAAGAATAAAATCGCTAATGTTCGCTTACAATCTGAAAGATAATTCAAAACATCGCATTTCTGCTGTATCGCTGCATCGAATTCAAAGTAAAAACAACGCTCCCGGTGAGAATCTGCATTAGCTCCTCCTAAAACTTAAACGATCGAAGATGTTATTTACCTCATTCTTCACAAGACACGAAAAGCATTCAAACGCGTGAGAACCATAGCAACCTGGACTCGCGAAACGTGCATAATTAAGAGCTGAAAAAAACGTATCCAGAAATGGACGACACTCCAAATCCGGCCAATCAGCGATGGCCCGAGGGGGAAAACACCGGGAGTGACGCAACTAGTGTTAGTTTGCGAGAGGGCGGGCGAAGATCAAGTAATGAGCCTCACTATGCAGAAATCACGATGTCCCACTCAGTGTACTCGCCCCCGCGTGTCCCGAATCGCTATTGTATCGGTAACGAGCAACCCCACCTTTCCCGCCTGCTTCTCTTTCTCTCTTCTCATTCACTCTCTTTCACATTCCAGCTTTACAGAGGTTGCCTATGATTGGCTGAGTGGGAAAGTGGGAAGCTTTGTGTTGCGGAAGCAAACATACAGAGAAGTGCCCAATCATGCATGAGCACGTCTGCTTTACGGTTCGTTAGTTACGCGACCAACCGTCAGTTCGTGTTTAGCTTCCAGTCGCGACCAACGTGAGCTTGCTCAGCGAAGGCTTCGGTATAAAATGTCACTACACGCAGGGTAATGACGTCATATGGTTGGTATAATGTGATTCTGAGCACGGCCGTACTGGATCGCTCGCAGTCTTACGGCGTCTCCATGAGGCGTGGAAACACCTATATGTTTCCGAAGTGGCACTGTCAAGTGGTAGGCTTCAAGCGCCAATGGGCGGCCGGGAGCTGCGCCACACCGCGGCTGTATAATGTGTCACTTTGCTAAACTCGGGGACAACTTTCCGCAGCTATGCATGCAATCCAAGGAACGGGAGCAAGCGCTTGAGCGCTGATCAAACCTGTGCACGCGTGACCCGGCGCCCGAAAGCGTGACCAACACCTGCATTTTCCTATGAATTCGCCGGAAAGTATCGGCGATCACCCCTCACTGGGGCTTTTATGGTTGATGACAATAGCGTATACGCTTATATTTTCCGGTGAATTAGGGGCATGTGGCAGGATTCATGTTCATCAGCTCGGACAGCTTCACCGACATTCGCCGCGAATGTTTCTGGAATCTTTACGATGATATGTAATCTCAATGACGCTCAGTAGAAGAAGGAAGAAACCAGCTCTCGATGTGTACGAGCGAGTCGGCGATGGTCTATACACTATAAAACATAAAGTCCGTGACCTCAGTTTTCTGCAGAACACCGGTACACCCAATCACGGCTAACATTAGAAGATTCCCAATGATTTTCGAAGCTCAGAACGCAGCTAGATCCGAAAAATGCGATAGGACAAGGGCCAATGAGCAAATGAGATCCCGCGTTCATCGTTCTTGTGGGCATTTCATTTTAACGGCCTTCACGTATTCTGAGCACCCCCGTTCGCTGTGTTAGCTTCTGTCGTCTGTCGTGGTTGGGTGCCCCGTATTCTGCGTGGAAAGCAGACTCCCAGACTTTTTCTTTAGACAGTCCCACCTCGTGCCACTACATAAACGCGTCGCAAACAAACATACGCCAGTACTACACACGTACAAATAGAAACCTTAGCGCAGTGGTTCTCAAGTGGGGGTCCGCGAAGGCAATCTAAGGGTCCTTGAAGCACTGCCTCATCAAGTAAGCTCGGCAATAAAAGTCGTATTGTTTTCAGATTAAGGAGAAACTTTCCAATTTTCGGGTGAGTTTTCCCGTGTGTATGTCGACCACAGAAGTATACTTCACACTAGCCATTAGTTGCATTCATTTATTAAATAATATTCAAAATTAACCTATACCTCTCCCTTCACCTCACCACGAACAGGGTACCCCATCATCTCCGCCGATCCACAAAGGGTCCACGAAACATCAATGGTTGAGAACCACTGCCCTAGCGTATCAGCAATACAGCCCAGCAGCTACGCACAGAGCCCAACGTGAAGACTGAGTTTCCCTCCGGAAAGCAACGTCGAACAAGCGCGTCTAACGCGCCGCGTTCTTCTACTGTCACAAAGTTCAGCTCGGAGAGTCAGCAACTAAAGTCCCGGATGGCAACAGAAGCAACGCCTAAAGGGAAGCCCAACACCGCCGCCCGCCGGAACCCGGATGATCATTAGTCAATTTAGTGCGCCATGAAACAGAGGGACGCACATAACGCACCATGCCCCAAGCTACATCTGCAAACAGCGCGTCAAAACAACGATAAAAGTGGCGGTGACAAAGAAAAACCAAACATTCGCGGAGGGAGGGGACAGAGGCCGGGAAGGGCGAAAGCAGCGCTCGATGGAACAAAAAAAAAAGAAAAGAGAAAGCCGGAGAGGACTGAAAACGAAGGGAGAGGCTGGAGAGGTGGTGCTGGAAACCGGGGCTCCCTCCACCTTTCCTTCTTTTTTCTTGCCCGTGCCGCGCAAATTGGCCAAATTTATCGAGAGACACGTCATGACGCGACGACTCTCGCTAAAAGTGCACTTGCTTCATTCTCCCGCAATCTTCCTTTCTTTTTTCCATTTCGCGCGTTTAATTTAGCGTTTATTCCTTGCTTCCTCGGTAGCTTATTTTCGTCTTCTTTTACATCTTATTTTTAGAGTCGACAGTGAGTTGTTCGCTTTCACTTGATCGTTTCTATGCGCGTGTTCGTGTTCGCGCTTTGTTTTTTAAACCTTGAGCGTTTGAAGAAAATAAGAAGGAACGTTGGATGGCTGTGAAAACACGACAAGCGGCGGTTTTGGGATGGTGCTGAAGAGTGCATGTTTTCACTCAATGGAGAAGGGTTGCCTTGGTATAGTCGATGGCTTGCCAATTTCGACTTGTGCGAAGCTTAAGGGAATCATTATTGTTGTATAGATGGCTTCCCTGTATTGTCAGTTTTGTGCCCTCACCATTATACAGCGGAAAGAGACTACTTCCAAAAGTCCCTGCATGCAACACTGCGCGCGTTGCATTATGAGACCTCTTTGGCCATAAAGAAGAGTGGCATCGTTTCGATTTCGATTGCCCTGTTCATGAGCTAGCGCATCTCAGTACAGCATAAAAATAAAGTTTGCGCCCGCTTGCATTGCACCTATTCATTTTCGTGAAAGACCCCGTTGAAACACGCATCTCCAGCGGCCGTAAGAACCTGCCTAGACTTATGGGGCGTTCACACTGGAAGCGGATCCGCAACCGCGAAGCAGCTGGGATCGCGCGATTAGAGCGCGATTGGAGCGCGTTTTTACCAACCGCTTCAGGACCAATTTCTCTCAACCGCTTTGCGAACCGCGAAGCGGCAACCAATCGCAACGCGCCGCTGGCGTGACGTCGGTGGCTTTTAAAACAAGATGGCACCCTTCGCCGGTGAGACATCCTAGGCTCTGTAGTTCTAGCGTTGCAGAAGACCATCCAACGAAGAAACGTGATGTTCAGATCCGTCACTTTAATCAATCGCGAAAATAATTGATTCGTAAACTTAAGGGGCTTCGCTCCAGTGCTTTGGTTCGGGTAAGCTAGTTCGTTTATCATTCGGGGTGCCAAAGCTCGTCACTGCGCTGCCTTGTTCGTCATTGCCCGTAGAACATCAAAACCCGCGCTTGTTGGAACAAAATGACAGCTTTAGTACCCACAAGGGCAGTCGCGTGAACTACAGAAGGCTTTCGACACCGTACATGACCGACCGGAAAGGCGATACAGACGTCCACGGAGCTGGAAGTGTACCTGCGCTAACTCGACCTGTAACGTTTCTACCACCAGAAAAAAAAAATAAAGCAGACGATGCATAGGTAAGCGAAATGGCATTGATTTGAGCTTAATGTTAACCCTTTATTGGTCACAGATGTTTCCATGATGAGAAAAAATTTATTAGACAACGTTTTGTGGTTAAAATGGCGCAATCATGCCGATGAAAAATAATGTCTAGCAAGAGTCACAACATTTGTCCAGTTCCAGATCTGTATCCCAGTGGATACATTGCCTTTTAAGGTAACCCTTACAGCCCACGAGTGTGGAAGCTCCAGAAACAGTTCCTTCGTTCCGTGAAGCACAGGAGCATGTCACATTTCGTGCACTTTACACGTGTTTGCCCGGTGGAACAATACCGGCACCTGGCTTTTGTGCCGAAAGAAGGCCAGTGTCCAATAGTGTCATATCTCACGTCGTCAGCTGGCCTTGAAGCCTTTGCCTTGCGGATCTTTTTTTGTGGAACCTCATCAAAAGATGGTCTACCTCTTTTTCTCTTTCCTGCTTTTAGAAGGGATTCACCGACAGCCACTCGAAAGTCATTCAGTGCAAGTGCCGGTTGATTCAGAAGAATGCGACAGTCACGGCGATAGAGCAACCAGGCATTGTTGATAGATATATCAAGCAACTGTGCAAACAACTTCAAATAGTATCTTTTTGATTTCAAAGGTGTTCTGTAAAGCTCAATTAGCATATCAGCGAGGTCTACGCCTCCCATGTGGTTGTTGTACTCCAGTACAATTCGAGGGCATGGTACTGCAACTTTCTTTGATTCCTCCTTCGAGAAGCGCTTGACAGTACCTTCTGGCTGAACGCCAACAAAGTTGCTAGCAAGGTTCACAACTTTATTGTCAACCCATTTGATGATGGTGACACCTGAGGTCTTCTCTGGCTTTTGATCATAATGTCCACGGCCTTTCTTCAAAAGGGCCTTGTCCTCTAGAAGGGGACATCCACGCATTCTTGGAGATCGTATAGTGCCCAGTGACACCGTTCCAAATGTCTCTTTCAGATATTTTATGAGCTCAATACTGCAGAAAAAGTTATCAAAGAACACAGCGCTTTCTTCTGGGTTCTGGAGAGTCCTGCAGAGGTATACAACAACCTTTCCTCCAAGACCGAGGGCCTCCTCCTCCGCACTGAATGTCACATGAGAAAATGTGTCAGCTCCAGCATATGGCAGGATGTCGTAAACCATGCCTGATACGCCTGCACGCACAAATAGCTTGTAGCCCCATTTATCTGGTTTATTCTTCATATACTGCCGCAGCTTCCCAGCTCGTTTGCCTTTGTAAGGCACCACCATCTCGTCGATGGATTGTTGTTTTTCCTCTTCAACCTTCCTGAAGTTCCCACGAAGTAGTTCAAAGGCAGGCCGTATTTTTGTAAACTTGTCCGTTGCGTCTTCTGTCGAAGTGAAGTGTACTAGTCTTCGGAGCTTCTTGAAGCGTTTTACAGGCATTACGTCCGCCATGAGAGGGTATCGGAGGCGGTCCGACCAGTAGTCGGAAAGCGCAGGCATCTTCACAACGCCCATTAGCACTAAAATGCCCAAGAATTGTTCAATCTCAGCAGCAGATGTGTTGACTGAGGCGCCTTCAGTTCGTACCGAATATAGATTCGTCTCATTTGCGATGAGCTCGATGAATGCACTGTCAAAAAATAGCTTGAAGTAGCTAACCGGAGCTTTGACTTCTCCCTGACCATATTGCTCACTTAAAAAATGCCGGGAATAGTCCACATCTCTTGACTCCCATGCAAGTGCCAGGGGCCTCTTCTGCTTTTTGGAACGTGCGAAAGAACGAGGAGCTTTAGTGTTACAAAGGTCAGCTACGTCAGCCGAAGCGCTAGGTGTAGCAGCATGGGATGTTGATGGCTGTTCTGACGGCAGATCAGTGTCGCTGTCTACTGGTGATGGGCTCTCTGCACGCAAGTGCTCTTTCCGCCAACTCTTGCAGGGCACATAGTCCTCGTCACTATCCCCACTGTGGATTGGGTCATCATCATCAGATGAGGCGATGTCAGAAATCATGCCATTTTCGGGTATAAGGGCCCGCACGCTGCGGTCTCGTTGTCTTGCACAGTAGAATGTGCTTGGGCGCAGCTCCATCTGACAATTAAACAAAGAAAAAAAAAAGCTTACGCTTTCCAACAATAGGCATCTCTGAATGGGCAATGTATCCCCACAGATACATTGATGTTTGGCATGCAATTTTTATAAATCTATTCAAGAAAATGTAAAATTAAGTCACTCACCTTTTTGTTTGTCGCCCAGCTGTGCCTTTCACACAGTGATCTCCCAACAACGTGATGAACAGGCAATACAAGGAACGCAAATTTACCGCGTGACTGCCAGACTAAAGCACACCGGTGCCTGGCCCATACCACAGTGAAATCATAACCAGTGGTCCCACTCAAGGCCACTTCCGGTAATCGCGCATACACAGCGCTCCTCAAGCCGGATGGCGACAACTGAAGTTGTAAAACAAAAAAAAACAAAAAAAAGAGGGTAAAAAAGAATCGCAATTGACTAAATTGAGTGCATTAATGTTAATATGTTTAGAAAAAATAATAAGCTAGATAATAATGATAAACCAACATGGAAAGAAAAAATCGAGCAGTTACCGTTAGCTTCAAAAAGTTCATTGCCCTAACCGAAGCCGCCGAAGCCATGTTTTTAAACGTCGCCGGTCGCGTTGTCGGTGTTGCTGTTCTGCGAATTTCTCTTTCCTAGTACATTTCCCTTTCGGTTGGATCCTCGCTTGGCGTTTTAATGTCACGTGAGTTACCGAATCACGCTATGAATGTGTTCTAAATGGGCCTGCTCAGGCAAGAAGCCAAAACGCCGGGGACTCACTTCGCCGTTCGCGATTCTGGGATTCCGCTTCAAGTTCGTTGCTGGTGAGTGCAAACATTTTAAAGTGCTCGTGCTGTCCTTCGCGTCAGGCCATGGCACGATCGTCTTTTCTCCAACGCAGTGTATGTGACTCGGTTAATTTCTCAGTCGTATGTACGTCGGACGTGACTTGTAAAACGGTCAAACGTAATGAATTGCTTGTTCACGCGCAACCTCCACGTATTGAAGCTTGCACACCACTTTACTGGAAAAATAGAAATATCGTGGCAAATGACGCGGATCAGGACCGAACCTGGGATTTGCTAATCTGTAAAATCATAAAAGAGAAGTTGGCATCATAGCATAAGATATTAAAAAAAAAAACGCAACATTATAAAAAGTGAATTTACCAGTTGTTATATATTTGCAAACAGGCTAAGCAGGTTGACTGGGCACATTGAACATAATTCTGAATTAAATAGTCAGATGGATGTCCCTTGAAGGGAATTAACAGAAGGCACCTCCAAAAAAAGTGTTGCTCAAACATGCCAATTTCCTGGACTCACACCTGTCTTCTCTCTCTCTCGTCAGGATACCCTGTGGGTATGGCAGCATCTGGCACCTGTCGTCCAGCATGCGTCGAGACCCCTCCTCCCCTCGTCAAGCTCCAGACATTATTTATCTCCGCTTGGCACGTCATGCAGTAAGACCCACAGTACTTATCTAATTTAGAAGTATAAGCAGGGACAGATCCAAGGGGGGGTGACAGGGGCAGCTGCCCCCCCCCCCCCCCAAACCAAGTCGACCCCCCCTCCCCCCTTCTCGGAGGGCAATTTGACATGGCTGGACCCCCCGGTGCACACGAAAGAAGGGGAGAACAGCATCCTTACAAATTTTCTGCCCCCCCCCCCCCCCCCCCCCAAACGGAGTTCTGGATCTGCCCCTGAGTATAAGGTGTGTCTCACCTCGTCCATTCACCGTATGCTGTTACTTTCTTGTTCCAGTACGATGGTTCCTCGGAGAATCGAAGAGAATACCACGAGGGCGACAAACGTGTGGAGGCAAGCTGCAAGGGCCGGACACCAGATTCAAGGACCATCAGTAACCAGGGGGATGAAGTGAGATAACTCAAGAGGCAGCTCATTATCTGGGCCACAAGAAGAAAATCAGAGACCGTACGCTGGGAAATTTGTCGACCTCATCCTTGGGTGTCATGAGCATTTTCTGGTCATATTCGTACGTGAGGTGAACTGTTACTGGAACTAGGTTGACTCATCCTCCTGCAGCTTACAGGGCATTACCAAAGCTACGGCACCAACGAGACAACCGGAACATTTGGCTGAGGGACGGGACAACATATTGTGGGAGTATACTCCTCCTACGGAGAGCTCTCACAATACTTGCTTCGTTGCTCTGATTAGCTCCAAAGGGCGGCAGTGCTTTTCTTTGTAAAATTAGGCTGAAACAGATTATAGCTGTAATAGGGCCACCGAGATTGACATTGCGGCATAACATTCCTCATGAGGGTTCTGGCATCTATTCTATGATCTCTTATGCAATTATGAATGTCGCAGCGACAAGTGGTTACTTGACAATAATCTGCAACTGGTCATATGACAAACTGCGTAAATGGTTGGGTAAGTGCAGTAAAGGTAGTTCTGCATATCTGGGAAAGAACAGTGGCTGGGAGGGCTCTAGCTCTTCCTCATCACGATCTGTCTTGGGGAGGGCTGTCTTGAAAACCCCTTTCAAGTCATTAGTCTGAAAGGGAGTTTCTGGGATACCATTGACGCATAGTAGTTTCCGGCATCTATGAGACACTTAAGAAGAAAAACCTTGTGGAGTTGCAAGCTGCGAACCAGGTTGCAAACTGTGAGGACGACTTAGATTAAGTCCTGCTTTGTACGAGTGGTCTCAACATTTGGCATGCAAGCTGTGGAGCAGTTCTGTTAATTGTAACTTCAAGCTCCTGAATACTGGAACTGTTCCCATCAGCACGACAACCACAGCTAATTGTCGTGCCAGTAGACCTCGTTCTGAAGTCACCGGAAGAAAACAACAATAACCAGTTGCTGCCATCATGTTGTGTTAGCCAGTGGTCAAGAACAAGATTTTTTCTCTTGAGCTTGGGGTAACACAAATGTCTCTCCTCAACGTCGGGCTCCGACGTTGAGGAGAGAAAGTACCCAGCACTAGTTCCGGCACATATAGCTTTATCTAAACTCGGCTTGAGTTCGCGACACAGACAACTGCTACGACGTTCTCCGTCCGAAGGCTTGCGATGGCTAAACCGCCCTTTTTTGCTGTCCCTCTTCTTTGTCCTCTTTTCTTCCCCTGGCCGCGAGGCGAGGATTCTTTGTAATCTGGTGCGAACGCCACGGTGGGACGCACAGCACCGAATGAGTCGGTAATACACTCCGTCACAAGTGGATGTTAGACTTGAGGGGGCACTGTGTCCCTTTTTGAGAGGTGTTACTGACTCAACTTTCCAGGATTTAGGAACAGAGCTGTGGGAGAGAAAATCGTTGAAGAGGCGAGTGAGGACGGGGGAGATACGGCCAGCACAGGATTTAAGCAATGCAGGGTGGAGGCTGTCTGGTCCAGGGCGTTGAGAGGAGTTGACACAGGCGAGGGCTTCGTAGGTTTCACTTTGAAGAATGACTATGGAAGAGTGTGCGATTGCTGGTGTGGCCTTGATTGGCTGAGTTGTGGGTTGCGTGGGACAAAGGTTAGGTGCGGTAGGGTCGAGTAATGCTGTAGCCTGAGAAAAGTGGTAAGAGAAGAGCTCTGCTATGTCGTGATGTGTGAAGACAGGCGTTTGGTACATTTTTTTTTTTTTTATAGTGAAAACATGCCCAAGAGTTTGGGCTGGCAGGTTGCTTTTGCTCTTAGTTGGTAGGTAATCGTTATGGGAGATATGGATGAGATGCTTGACTTCGGTATGTGCCTGGTGGGCTTGGTTAAGATTAGTGGGATTTAGAGGCACTTTTTTTAATAGTCAGTGTTTACGTCTGATTAAGACTGCAATCTCCTTTGTGATCCATGAAAGGCTGCCGTGCCTCCTGTTGATCTTTAGGGTGAACACATTTGTGCTGAATTGCTGATATGTTGAGTGAGAGGACGTCGGCCTCGTCAGCCGATGGGTGATCAAACACGATGAACCAGGGAGCGAGGTGGATGAGCTGATTGAGATGAGGGAAATCGTTTTTTTTAGAACTGCTGGAACTTCTTGGTTTGATGACCTCGCTTAGGGCAATGGATATTGGTGAGGAGAGCACTGCGATCACTGCCTGGTAGGCTGGATTTCACTGTGCAGCGGTAGGATAAGGTGGGATTATTGGTGCGGACGAGGTCGAGGAATATAGCGTTGCTGTTTTGAGAATTGTAGAATGAGGCGTCATGAAGTTGGGTGAGGCCAGCAGTTTCCAATACGTCTTGCAGCATGTTATCAAGTGGATCAGATGAACAGTGCAGAGAACTTGCTGGGGTCGACGCGCTGTGGGCTCTTTTGGAGGAGGGCGTACGATTGTTCACGGAGGGGGGGTGGGCAGTAGATAGACACCAGAAGAAGCTTTCCATGTTTACAAAATACCTCGACAAAGATGGCTTCTAAACCCGGAGGGGTGAGGTGGTCGAGACGTTGGCAGGGCAGGTGTTATAGCATGGCGAGGACGGACTCCTTCGCCCCAAGGAGGGACAGTCTCGCTGGAATAAAGAGAATTGTGCGAGATTAATTCCCCATTAATCATCCACCGAAGACAGGCATCCAGCCATGTCTCGCACACAGCGAATATTGTATTCGGGAAAGATTACTTCAGCGCTTTAAAGTCGGGAAGGTTGTTTTTTAGGAAGCAAACGTTGGAAAATCAAACGGGATTGGAGTCTGTAGACTCCGGTCGCGCACTTTTCACAGGACAACTATGCCAAACGCGGAGTTGTCATGCGAACGGTGAACGCTGCCGATGTCGCTCGCCGGAGGCGGGTCGGAGAACTACTTGGTAGAGTTGGTGATGATGGTGGGGTACACAGGGGCTCCGTGCTGCTTAGGGGATGGAAAGAGGTCATCAGCCAGGGGCGCGAGCTGGCACGCCGCACAGAGCCACTCGGTTGAGAATGAGGGGAGGCGTCTATACAAAGCGAGAGATAGATCTTCACATTTCTGGTGGAACCACAAATCATAAACGTCGCATTGGAGAGTGGCGACATTGTCGACAGACAGGAAACAGCAGGGGCAGGTGGGACGTGAGCCGGAGTTTGAAGGTACACCCGTGAGCGATATGAAGGTGAACAGCCCTCTTCTTGTTTTTGACGCTCCTGCAATTTTTGGAGCAAGCTCTGTTCCAAAAGAGGGCTAAAACGCAAAGTTTAGACCCCAAGCCACATACTATTTGAGACGTTGACAGTTAATATAGCTTTAGAGAGCCGTAAAACGGGCAAGAATCCAGGTAAGGTGTTCACTTTCATATTGCCGGCGGGTGTGCTTCACCAGTGATCAGCAATAACGAGATTAGGTGAGGTTGTTGGCGAGGGCGATGAGTGAAGAATGCTC